CTGTAGTTCTACATCTGGATGGAAGTATCACATAGATGGACAGCCATGGACGGGTTATTAGGTTATTAGGTCTGTTGGACAACCTCTCCTTCTAATAAGGAGGACTTAAAGTAACCTTGACCTGAGAGCAATATGGGGGCTACCATTGTAGATCTCCTTTTTAATCAGCATTTCTCAACCTTTTTTGAGGTGGAGGAATCCTTGCTCAACTATGATAAATTGAAAGCAGGTTACCAGGAGACAGCTCCCTTCCTCCTTAAAGGTACAGCCACACACCAGAACCTCAGCATTGCCCAAGGCAGCTGAAGACCCCCAATAAAACAACTGAAACAATGGCCTGGAAGAAGCACGCAGATGAGAAAAGTCATAGTGATATCACAACTCCCAATCTGTAGACTTATTCCAGACCAGTGACTGAGAAAGTACCAAATCCATTGGATTAGTGTGACAGCCAGAGACCTAGTATTTTCCTGAGGGAAAGGTCAGCATTTCCAGCCTCTGCGCTTCCACAGTACAAGTCTCCTGTACCCTAACCATGTCTATACATTTACTGGCATAGTGACATGGGGCAGATTATATTCCTGACTGTAGTTGTGTCATTGTGAAGTTAGACCTTCTTGCCTAACCTCAGGTTCTTCAGATACGTTGGGCAGAGTTTGGAGTTGCCCAGTATCACAATGGAGGACTGAACGGTGGGGTAGATTAGCACAAAAAATAGTGCTGCCATTTCAGACATGGATTGAATGGTCAGGGAAGATGCCAAGAGGCTGACCTCTGAGAGGTAGAAGATGGCGTACAGTATGGAGAGATAGACCATGATCCGAGCGGCCCTCTTGTGAGCATCTAGACTGGGGATGCTGAAACCGGAACGGTTGTACTTCATATTATGGTAGTGTGTCCACAGGGAGGTCAGAGTGAGGACGATGGAGAGGATGGCCAGCACGAAGGGCAAACAGCAGCCCAAACCAATGGTTAGAAATTTATAGGTCTGAGTCAGCTCGATGGTGGCGTCAATTATCCATGAACCAGAGCTGAGGTTCAGGGTGATGGCAGAAAGTTCAATGTTGGTGTCAATGATCATAGGACTGGAGGTGACGTTCCTAGCGATGACACACATCTTCAAATGAATTTCCCAAATGCTCAGAAGGCTGATGGCGAATGATCCAAGACCTGCCCCTATCAGGAATCTGGTCACCACGTTGGTGATGTTAGTCTTGAGGTGGATGAAGAAGCGGAGCTTGAAGCTGACGATCCTCAGGCAGTAGTAGACACACAGAATTGCTGTGATCCAAAAACTGAAGTAGAACTGGAAGATCAGAAAGACGGAGACAGTGGAAGAGATGTTGGGGTACTGGAGCATGTTCGGGTACATGATGAACAGGAACGTGCAGATGTTCATGTCACACTGCAGGCAAATGTTGTTGATGGCCATGAGAACCAAAATCTTATCACAAAGACTCCGTGGGAGGCCTCGTCTCCAGTGGGCAGCATTCAGCACTATAATGTAGAAGTTAAAGAGGACCCCCAGCACACACTCAGCAATTGCAACGATGAACCCCACCACCCAGAGAAGAGCCACCATCCTGCCTTGTGTCTGTGCAGATCTGAGTGAAGGAAGGCAGAGCAGCGTTCATCGACACTGATTGATTGGATGCAAATATCTCGGAGATGTTTTCAGGAGCTGATCTCACGCAATGGGTACATCTGATCCAGAGGAGGTCAAATGTCAAAATAATAGAAAATAATAATAGGCAACGCACACAATATCTAGGAAACCAAATGTGTACATCAAACATGATAAACCACCGAGCAGTCTGCATCTCTATGTGCAATAATCCATGCGTATCACTCCCGGTGCGATCCCACCACCTCCTGGACTGCAACTCACTGCACCAAAATGGCCACCCATGTAATGGTAAGTCACAAAGCACTTCATAACCTCCTCTCCATGGAGTCAAACTTCCTCCAAACTCTGTGTAGATGGACATTCCACCAACAAAGCAGCATGTTCTTCTACCAGCAAATACGAGGTGCGGTGTTGAGGTGTAGGAGTGTCCCTAGTCTACATTTCAAGCTTGCAGCTGGGGCTGTGGCCTGAGCTCATGACTAAGGTAGCTCAGAGGTCCCCTTTTACTGCCACCACCCCCTTTACCTTCGACTCCCCACCCACTTCCTTTCAATTACCACGCTACACCAGGGTTGGAGTATAAATGGCCACAGCCACCTTTCATTACAAAACTTTTATAAATACTCTTTAAATAACAATCAAAAACAACAATAACCAAGTAACCGTACAGTGGCTTGCTAGGTTTCAAGGTCCTTGAAGGCACTCACTACTCACTCCAAACTCGGACCGGTGCCTGCGGGCACCTTTCTTAAAAGGGAATGACCCCAGCCGCCATACACCGCCTGGGGGACGTACTTCAATTGCCCGCAGACCCACCGTGGTCCCTCTTACCAGGTCATGACGTGTGACCTTACCACCACCGAAGGCCACCCGCACCACCGATGGGTCCCCCGTCAAATTATCCAACCCAGAAAATTGCCTTCAAGGATCCCCAAACCGCCATAATGCTGCGACAAACGTTAGACACCACCAAAACCATACCGGGGCGGGCGGGTGGATAGTCCTGTTCCTTCTCCTGGTCATGCTGGCTCCTGGAACTCCTCCTTCCCGGATACTCTCCGAAGCTCCTCCTGTAAAGCTCCCTCCACCAATCCTGTGTGTATCCCTCCTCTAATTCACTTTTCCCTTTTTTTTTTTCCTTTAACCCTTTTCTCTCCTGGTTCCCTTTCCCAGCCTTGTCATGTAGGCCTTCCGCTTATTGCACTTTGTTCCATAGCTCCCGGCCTGTCTGGACAATGTTTTTTTTTTCTTTCCTCTTCTGGAGAGTAAGAAGATACAATGTATTGGGTTACCAATATATATATATTTTTTTTGCAAGTTTATTTTCAGATTTATTCAAATAATAAAAAAACAAAACAGTCACAACAAACATAAGTAGTACATAAGCAATAACCTGGTCAGGCGCTGTTTAATATCAGAAGGCTACAAAGCAAAATCAATGGATTGCATAATGTCGTCACTGCATTATTAAAGCGGAACAGTTATAGGTTCGTAAGTATTTTAAACATGCAAGGAGGTAGCCATTGTAGTCAGGTGACGTAGTATAAGAACAGCTTACCAACAATCTAACAATTCGTGTATGCATGAAAGGCCGGGCACACACCTTACAACCATCGCAAGACTTTTGCTCACCGGCCCGTACGGCTTTTATCTTACGAACATGTTAGAGACATCGTACGATGCTCGGCGGGTTTTCAAACATGTTCGTAAGTCTAAAGTCGTGCGACCGTACAGTAGTAGAGGTCGACGCGGCTTACACACACCTTACGATCATCGTACGATCGCGGGATTTCCCGCCATTATCGTACGATTATCGTAAGGTGTGTGGGGACCTTAAGGCTGAAGCCTAACCATTATCTACTAATCTGTGTCTGGTGGTGCTAGTGGGTGGGAACGGATCATAGAGTGAGGCGGAAAGGACCTGAAATGGACAGAGAAAAAGGGGCAACATCCCGGATAACAAGCAATTGAGCTGCAAGTTTGAGAATGACTCGCTAAACTATTGCTAGACTTGCCGAGCTTCACAATTTTGTTGCACAATTACAGCGAGTCTGCATTGCGAGTCTCCAGACCGGCGAGCTTGCAGAGCTCTTGCTAAGACCTGCAGGACTCTTGCTGTGGACCTGCCGAGCAAACTTGCTACAAATTCAAAAAGTGTCGCCTAGAACTTGTGCTGCGAGTGTTCTGCGAGTCTACAACCTGCCAGGGAATGTGCGCAGCAAGTTACCAAGAGATACAATGTACCCCGGACACAAGTTTGTAGCAAGTTATCTTCGCTATCTGGGATAAGGAATGTATGTACGGGAATTAATACGGGGGAGCAGGTCATAGCTATGAGAGTGCAGACTAAAGTGGAGTGCCTTGGTTTAATCACCGACAATTGTCACTTCTCCAGTGTACTACCCAAGGACATTGAGTTGGCCCAGAGAGCCCTCAGATGAGGCTAGAAGGTGCCATTTTGAGTTCTGAAAAACGAACATAATATTCTTTGTGATAGTTTGGGGAAGATAGCACAATGGTGGGAGCTAAGCGCTGTACACGCTTGTTCTTCTTGTGTTATCTTCGATGATAAGGGGAAGAGAGATTTGATGCAACAATCGGAGAAGACGCAATATTGCATCGGCCACTTCCCCTGTTATTTGCAATGTGGCCGCAGTATGAACAGTGATAATGGTGGGCGGAGCTGGACGGGTCTTTCAGATAAAATCGCATTATGTGTAATGGCGGGTGCAGATTGTCCTCCTCAGTGTCTTCATCTTTAATTACACAAATTCCTCCATAATCTGCAACAACATAAAATGTCACATGAAGGAACGAAACGCGTCCTCTGATGGGACAATACGGGGAGTCTGTCAGGGGGCTCCCGGGGGAGGGTGAGGGGGGGACACAAGTCACATTTCAGTATTAGGCGTCTCTTCCCATGTACAGATGATTATTCTGATGATCCGCCAATCATTCACAATCTGCTACAATGTTTCAGACTACAAAAGTGACCACTGAAATGCTTCCTCCTGTCTGCAGCAGACTGATCACTGGGGGAGGGGAGACTGGGGAAATGCTTCCTCCTGCCTGCAGAAGTCTGATCACTGGGAGAGGGGAGACTGGGGAAATGCTTCCTCCTGCCTGCAGAAGTCTGATCACTGGGAGAGGGGAGACTGGGGAAATGCTTCCTCCTGCCTGCAGCAGACTGATCACTGGGAGAGTGGAGACTGAGGAAATGCTTCCTTCTGCCTGCAGCAAATTGATGACAACATCTCAGCCTAGACAAGGTCACTGACTGGAGCACAAGGATGGATTTTGCTGCTGTACATTGTGACATGTCAGGAATGGATTTATAAGTAATGACAGGTCCACTTTAATTGAAGCCTCATGTTGATCATCCAGGACTCATATTAATGACTACATCCACCTCCCCCAGGAGTCAGTCCCCGAAGCCTCAGACTCACCGTATTGAAGGTCCTGAGATGAGGCGGCTGCATTAGTCCAATGATCCGAATCCGTGTTATAAGAGACACATTTGTAGGTCTGGGGGAGTGATGGTCTCACCATCCGGAGAATCCATCATATCCAACCCAATGTCCCTGATCCAAATCCACCAGTGCCGGTGCTTTATGGGCGGTGCTGCGTCTGTTAGTGATTCCTCATCACAACTTCTAACTTCACAATCTTCTCCGATTTCTGGAATAATCATCTCTTTTGGTTTTCATGAGAAACATTGGGCTCCATCTAGAGGACAATGAGAGATATTGGGCTCCATGTAGAGGACAATGAGAGATATTGGGCTCCATCTAGAGGACAGTGTAAGATATTGGGCTCCATGTAGAGGACAATGTAAGATATTGGGCTCCATCTAGAGGACAATGAGAGATATTGGGCTCCATCTAGAGGACAATGTAAGATATTGGGCTCCATGTAGAGGACAGTGTAAGATATTGGGCTCCATGCTCCTTCATTTTATTTTTATATTTTACAAGGAAATGTCAGAGGTCTCTTTAGATCGCCAATATTTCCCCAAAGTCCTCCAACAGTAACAAAATAATAATAATAATAATAAATACCCAAATACGACTCCCCCCCCCCACACACTTATTATATACGTGCTCCATAATGCGGTGTACGACATGCACTGCGGCGAGTTGTTAGAACGCATCGCAGTGCTTGATACATTGTGACGTATTGCCATGCGTTGTGATACGCTCTGTTGCGATTATATGTATCATTTTATCACAACACACACACCAGCGCACAAATGATTTTATACAGTTTTTTTTACAGTTTTTTTTTACAGTTTTACGTTTACCGTTTTGCAATAAGACGCAATCTAAAATGTACAAATAATTGTTCTTTATTACCTCCAATCAGTTTTGTCTTTTAGATTTAGTCGGAAAAGTGTTTTTTTTTTTTGTGGTGCACTGATACTGATTTTAGTGCTTTTATCCATTGAATTGTGTATTTATATCGGTTTATTATGAATTTGACAAACTCTTGCGCAATTACCGCAGGTATCTACTAAATTAGTAGCACCATCTTTTTATTCTCCTGCGCTTTCAGGAAACGTATGGCTTGGGGGGGTCTTTTACAAACGCTCGCGACGCAGCAATAGAGGATCAGAACAATGGGAAAAATGGCAAAAATGGTGAGGCCGGCTGAGGTTAAACGCGTTCTGGAAAGCTTGGCAATGAAAGGGTTAAATGGTGCCAATGAAATTCTGATCTAATGTAGAATGAAAAGTATTTGGCTCCATCTAGTGGACAATCAAATATATTGCAACTCCAGCTAAAGGACAATTAAAGATATTTGGTTCTGTCTCGTGGACATTGAAAGGTATTAGGTTCTGTCTAGTGGACGATAAAGGGCATTGGGTTCTACCGAGTGGACGATGAAAAGGTATTGGGTTCTGTCTAGTGGATGATGAAAGGTATTTGGTTCTGTCTAGTGGATGATGAAAGGTATTGGGTTCTGTCTAGAGGACGATGACGGGCATTGGGTTCTGTCTAGTGGACGATGAAGGGTATTGGGTTCTGTTCAGTGGAAGGTGGAGGACATTGGGTTCTGTCTAGTGAATGATGAAAGGTATTGGGTTCTGTCTAGAGGACGATGACGGGCATTGGGTTCTGTCTAGTGGACGATGAAGGGTATTGGGTTCTGTTCAGTGGAAGGTGGAGGACATTGGGTTCTGTCTAGTGAATGATGAAAGGTATTGGGTTCTGTCTAGAGGACGATGACGGGCATTGGGTTCTGTCTAGTGGACGATGAAGGGTATTGGGTTCTGTTCAGTGGAAGGTGGAGGACATTGGGTTCTGTCTAGTGAATGATGAAAGGTATTGGGTTCTGTCTAGAGGACGATGACGGGCATTGGGTTCTGTCTAGTGGACGATGAAGGGTATTGGGTTCTGTTCAGTGGAAGGTGGAGGACATTGGGTTCTGTCTAGTGAATGATGAAAGGTATTGGGTTCTGTCTAGAGGACGATGACGGGCATTGGGTTCTGTCTAGTGGACGATGAAGGGTATTGGGTTCTGTTCAGTGGAAGGTGGAGGACATTGGGTTCTGTCTAGTGAATGATGAAAGGTATTGGGTTCTGTCTAGTGGATGATGATGGGAATTGGGTTCTGTCTTGTGGGTGATGAAAGGTATTGGGTTCTATCCAGTGGATGATGAAAGGTATTGTGTTCTGTCCAGTGGACAATGAAAGGTATTGAGTTCTGTACTTTCCACACTGGTACCATTGCACGTCCCCTACCAAGCGGGGGCGTGGGGTCGCCATAGGATTTGGAAAGGATATTCCCTTCACGGTCACTGATAGAATGGTTGACCCGGAGGGCAGGTTCCTTTTTCTTCATGTCGAATTATATGGTGTTATATATACTGTGGCGAACGTTTACTGTCCGAATTCGTGTCAGTGGAGATGCACGGAACTGATACAGGAAATGGACAAAACATTCATTATTTTGTAGTTATTACATCACAACAACAACAACAACAACAATGTAACATAAAACATCACACGCAGGAAACACAAATCATGTCAGATATAAATGTATATATATCAGGGGAGCACAGCAGCCGTGTGCACCTCCGCGTGCGTCCTGTACACACTTGGATAATGTTGTCGGTTTGATGGAACTTTAAACTTGTGTCCATCATGTCCTGATGGCATTCCTCATATCTCTACCTACACACATCAAGCTCTGGGGTTCCATCTCCTTGCAGAACAACTGCTGAATCAGTGATGGAGAGGGGGGGATTGCTTTCAATTAGCCCGAGCACATTGATCACCGTCAGCTGTAGAGGGATCAGTGAAGTGCAGCCACTGTTAGACTTGTGCGCCATCAAAAAATGTGTTCCGTTTCGTAATATCCGTTATTTCATATTTCATAATTCGTGTCCGAAACTCAATTCGGATTCGTACGAAATACGGATTTTCGTTAGTTTCGGCACATTTTCGTAACTTTACGAACATTCGTTATGATGAAGTTAAAAAGCAAAAATACCTTTGTTATTATTGGAGTCGATGTGGTAGTTGTTTTTTTATCCAAAATACGAATTCCGTTAACGGATTCCGGATCCGAATTTCCGTATTTCGGACTTTAAAAAAACTAATCAACTCCAATATAAATGTACTTTGCTTTTTACCTTCAATATAACGAATGTTCGTAACGGAATTTCGTATTTCCTGCCTGTGTATTGTAATGCGACTCTCAGCAGCAGCGGATCCGTATTTCGGATAAAAAAAAAATCTTGTCATGTTGTTCAACCTCATTTACAGGGGTAATATTAGTTCCCGTTTCAAAGAAATTCGGATCCGAAATTCGTTAACGGAATTTCGTATTTCGGATATAATTGGGAAACTGCACTTCGGATTTCGGATGCTTCCGAATCTACGAATTTCAGGAAAATCCGTACGAATTTCGATTCGTAACGAAACGAATCGCACATGTCTAATATATAACGAGCAACCATGACTGACCCTAGACACACCCGTATACTATAGAGAGACACTAGGTGCATGAGACATTACAGCATGTTTGTAGAGTCATATAAATGAAGCTGGCCGCCATGTGTGGCTTTAATATGCTGCGGTGTCCCTTTAAGAACATGTGATATCAGTGTAGCCGAAATGTAACGTTTAGTTGAAATCAGCTGAACGCATTCCAGGGGCTGCAGACCCAATAGATGTACAACGTCTTAAGGTTCCTTTTCTCTACAAAGCAGCCACAGTAGAAAAGCCAGTCTCCTGCCAGCAAAGAAGGACACCCCCGTGTGTGGAAGCAGCGGTCTCTCTGCAGAGCTCTGACTGAGCCCCCTACTGAGTCACAGTTACATCTCCCCCAACTAGCAAAGTGCATGCTCCCCACCAACCAGCCCCATCCCACTCCTACCTCTGTTATTGCAGAGAGCCAATGAAATCATGGGCGTCCGGAGGCCAGGGGTCACCCAGTCTTCAGACCGGGTGACACCCCGGTCATCATCGAGCGCGCGTGTGATGTCACCTCGTGCGCGTCCATCTGATTGAAGCCTGCCGGCGGCCATCTTGGTGAGAGAGAAGGGAACGTTCACCCGGCGGGATGAGGTATGCCGCCGGGTCCCCTCCTCTCTCCTGACACTGTCGGGCTCTCGGTCCATGACCGAGTGCCCGACATTTTAGAGGGGGTGACACCGAAATGCCTGTCAGTCATTTTGGTGTCACCCCTGCAATGGTGTCACCCAGATGCAAGACGCAGCCGCCGCACCCCCCTTCTGGCGCCAATGAATTAAATGTATCTCATTATAACTTGAGAGGTCATGGTCAGGTGACAACTCCTCCCCTCAAGCCGTGCTTCCACCAGCCAAGAAGTCCCTTTCACCCCCAGGGGCCCAATCATTCTTTACTGAGATCCTAAATATTGTCCTCCACCCGACTTTCCAGCACAGGAGGTCTGCAGAAACACCTTCCTCAGCTTGGGGCTGGACTGGATAATGATGGAAGCTTCCAGTGTCGGAAAGAAACCCAATATGAGCCAGGCAACGGAAACGGCGGATCCACGGAAGCCAGGCGGGGGTTGGAAAATGATTAGGTCCGCCGTGCTGATGATGACGGAAAGGAGAAGCAGCAACGCCATTGTCCTCACCGCACTGACGTGAGCCTGGACACTGGGGCAGCGGAGTCCTGAGCTATTGGTCTTCATACTCCGCACATGGGTTAATAAGGAGAACATGGTGAGGGTCAAGGAGACCAGGATGATAGAGAGGGACAAGCAGATGCTGGCACAGGCCAGGGGGATGAAATTGAAGCCCGTTAAGGAGATCTCCAACAAAGTGGAATTCTGACCGGGGACCCCGAAATGAAGACCCCAGATCGGTGGCAGAGCGATGGCAAGAGACACAAGTGCCGACAATAAAAGGAGGTGAGGCGTGAACGATGACAGCCCCCTCTTTATCCAGACGCAGATCTGGTGTTTCAGGTTGGTGATACTGGTCCAGTAGAGGGTACTGAGCCAGGCAATGAGCCAATAGTTGAAGTACAAGTGAAATGGGACAAGGATGACCGTCGTATGCATGACCTTCGCTTCATAATACATTGGAAGCCAAAACCCGGCACCATTCACAAGCATGAGTCCTCGCATGGTGAGGTTAGTCGCCCCCATGACCAGCTGGATGAGATCGGAGGGGGTCACCTTCACCCCATGACTGAGGTTCTTCACGTGGATGAGAACAATACATGAGTTCAATGAGAAGGACAGCGGGCTTTCCAGAATGTTGATGAAGAAGAGGATGACCTTCAAGGGCCACATCTTCTGCTCAGAGTGCTCAGAGTCTCTGACCGTCCGTTCATACGGAGCCTACTGAGGACTTGTGGGCTGCTGGATGGAGATCAGCCAATGCAAATAGTCCCAGGCTCTCGGTTCCACATCGCCCACAAATACGACACTGCCGTCTGTTCACGCGTCTGACGTGATGGATGTGCGGAACATGATACTCTCGCGTCACAAAGTCATTCTGTTTAGGGAAATGTTAACAAGTTAAAGCAAACCCAACGTCAGATATGTGTTTATTGGTAAGTGCAGCACGCTGAGCGACGTGTACAGATTCCGGGTACTTATTACTGTGACGGACTGCACCGTCACTGTGCTAGTTGGAGGGGGCTGCAGGCTGGCCTCTTACCCACCGATTATGGCCCAGCAAGACAACAGGAGATTTTAGGGCTAAATGTACATTTTATATGCAGACAGTGACTGTTGCCCTCTGGGAAATATATGTTTTAGAATGGTGGAGGACAAGGACTTGGCCACATGGTTTGTCTATTCAAAATGGAGACTTAATGAAGTGAAGTCAGTTTTAAAGAAGTTGCATATCTTCCCCCCTCCCCCCCCCCTCACCTGTTATCTGATGCTCACCCTATTGTACTGTGACTGTGTATGTAAATGTCTGATATCTGCTGGCTGAGAGAGGGGTTTTGGCGGGCAGGAGACGCTCTTTGGCGGAGGTACCCAGTCGGGGTACCCGGGGTCCATCACAATTACCCTCAAAGAGTCCTGACATGGACAATGCTTTGATCTGCATTTCTCTCCATAAGAGCAGAGCCATGTTTGTCTCGGCATCATCCGGGGTCACCATCCACTTCTTGGACTGACATGGTGACTCAGAGATGACACAATCCTGGTGCCTGTGCAGTTTTATGCTTTACAATTGTCTGACACTCTCACCTTGTGACTTCCTACAAATGTATACTACAGTACAGTCTGATCAGTGGGGGGAGGGGAGACTGAGGAAATGCTTCCTCCTGCCTGCAGCAGTCTGATCACTGGGGGGAGGGGAGACTGAGGAAATGCTTCCTCCTGCCTGCAGCAG